CCCTTCCAACCCCACCATCCTGTGATTCTGTAATATTTGATACAGTGAGAGCAACTTTTGACAGCATGAAGGTTCTACTATTCTATACTGTCCTAAGGAAATTGTGATATTTTACCTGCTATAACCACTGAGATTTTATGGAAATAGACATGCCTGAAGACGTGGCTAATGGGATCTGGTTATTTATTTCTCACTGTTATTTATTTCTCCTTTATTGATGCAAAAGGAGATTTTAAGAAACTGGGGAATAGTTTTGGCTTTATAATGATTAAATAAGGCTTTTCATATCTGAAAACTTGTGATTTTCCTTAGTTGCCCAGAGACTGACAAAAATGGGTAAACATACTGTGAACTTGGACAACAAATCAGCAGATGTGAGAGTGAAGCCTTTTACACTTGAAATGGGAATCACGTTTCAGGTAATCAAGTGAAATCTGAAAACTATAGTGATACGAACTTGCAGTGCTTAAAAAGCATTGGGTTTTCAGTTACAAAGTAACTGAATATGTTCTATTTCAAAGTAACAAAAATATTTTATTTTTTAGCTGCACGTCACTATTTCTGGAAGGAAGATCAATGTTTCAGAAGTGCCTGAGCTATCCCTTCCTGAAGACTGGATGAGAGACAAATTAGAGCTGAATTTCTACAAGTCTGAAGAGGGAGGAGGAGCAGTAGAAAGTGTGAACTATGACAAGCAGTCTCGAAGAGCTGTTATTACATTCCTCAGACCTGGAGGTACAGTATGGAATATTTTATTAGCTAGATGTATGGGCCATATTGTCCGTTCTGCATCCCATCCCATTCCGTGTTACATTCTGTGTTAACTTAACCACTGGATGGAGTAAATTCTTCCCACAGAGAGTTAAGTAGATCAGGAAAAGATGTGGGTTTACCCACACATCTGTAAATAAAGCAGTATTTCATCATATTCCTTTTTGATCCATGACCTGATAGGCAGTTTGTGAGCTTCCTTTCTTTGTCAAAAGCCTATTTTTTCTCTTTGCATTGCAAAAAGAAAATGAGGAAAATGTGTTTGATTTTGGCTCTTGTTTCATGACAGTGAAGTTAGACAGGCATTCACATTGCCCAACTGTATGAAATTCTGTGAAGATCAGTGGAGCCACATCCATTTAGAGCAGCTGCTTTAGATTTATTTCAGAAGCTTTTGTGGGTATTTAATGATTTTTCTTTTTTGGAAATGCCAAATAAACTTTTTTTTCAAAATGCATACGAAGGATCTACAAGTGTGCTGTCATATATTAGTTTCTAAATCCATGTAAGGAAGATTAGTCTGTTCTTTGATATGTTTACAAAATGGATTTTAGATTATAATACTCTTACTCCTCTTTTTCTCACTCTCCATTACAGCAGCTAACAGCTTTGTGAGATGTACCAAACATCCTTTCGTTGTCAATGGAAGGAGCTACAGGATTTCTGTGTCTCCAAACATCTACACACGCTTGAAAAAGTTTCAGGTAAAAGAATCCAGTCCAGCCTAACCCCTAAACAGAACAGATAACCTGGGAAATAGGAGAGATGGGCAGAATGTTCAGTTCTCAGGACTGCAGGAGCTTTTGTGTCAAGCACTTTGTGAAACTTAATAGCAAGTGTGAGCCTGCAGTATGCTGATGATCGTATGTTTTGCAGTGTGAAAGCTGTGATTTATTTTAAAAGGGTAGGCATGTCGAAAGATGATCAAATTATATCATTACTTACCATAATGTGTGTGCTCAACAGGAGGCAGATACTGAACTGGTTGTGAAGTAGGTTAATAGCAGACACAACAACGTTATTCTGAGTCACAAAGCGCTGTCATATTCATCGCAGAGAGTCTCAGCAGAGACCCTTGTTCTGTGAAACATTTGCTCATTCATTTTTTTCATTCATTCAACCCAAATAATGACTTCTTTTCCTGTAACACTAGTCTGCTTGCTCATCATATTCTCACTGAGACTGTCTGTATCATAGAATCATAGAATGGTTTGGATTGGAAGGGACCTTAAAGATCATCCAGTTCCAACCCCCCTGCCAGCAGCAGGGACACCTTCCACTAGACCAGGTTGCTCAAAGCCTCATCCAACCTGGCCACAAACACTTCCAGGGAGGGAGCATCTACAACTTCCTTGGGCAACCTGTTCCAATGTCTGACCACCCTCACAGTGAAGAACTTCTTCCTAATATCTAATCTAAACCTCCCCTCTTTCAGTTTAAACCCATTTCCCCTTGTTTTGTCATTAACTGCCCTTATGAAAAGTCCCTCCCCAGCTTTCTTGTATCCCCTTCAGGTACTGGGAGGCCGCTAGAAGGTCTCCCCGGAGCCTTCTCTTCTCCAGGCTGAACAGCCCCAACTCTCTCAGCCTGTCCTACCAGCAGAGCTGCTCCAGCCCTCGGATCATCCTGGTAGCCCTTCTCTGGACTTGTTCTAACTGGTCCATGTCTTTCTTATGTTGGGGGCTCCAGAACTGGACACAGTATTCCAGGTGGGGCCTTACAAGAGCAGAGTAGAGGAGCAATCTTTCCCTTTGTGTGAGTAGATTGTAATCAAGTCAGTATTGTGTATATAATCAGGCCTTTATAATTAAAGCATTGACTAGAGCCTGCACGTTTATGAGACACAACAGCATTGTTTGCAGGTGCCTATCTTGTATTGCCACAGATTTCTATGGAGTGATGCTGTCCTGAGTCATCACAGATCCCCAGATCCAGGGTGTGTGGATTAAGGAGTGTAGGACACACCGGTTAAGGAGTTGCCTGTTGAACTCTGTAGTGTGTGGTGGAGTTCAGAACTGTTATTTTCAGTGTCAGAAATATACCACACTGTCCAAAGTCTTAAAACTTCCCAAAGATCCTGGCCATCTCCATTTCTTTCCAGTATCTGTCAGTTCCTTTAGATGAACCTGCAACAGCTGATGTGTAACACAAGTTTGTTTTTCTTTCCTCAATAGCTCTATTGTGGGATTTCTAAGAAGACCATTCTGTTGAAAGGAATTCAAGAGACAGAAGAGGATGAGGAAAGTATACAGGATATGATTGAAATTCATTTTCAAAAGCCTAGCAATAGTGGTGGGGAAATAGAGAAAATCAAATATGTATCCAAAGGAGCAATATGTGTTTGTTTTGAGGAGGATACTTAAAGTGCCACATAGGAAATTGTAGATTGAACTCACAAAGTTCTGAGGTTTCGCTTCATCAGAGGCATAGGAAGTTACGCAGACATCGTGCTTTAATGTCCTGAAATTTACACTTGAAAAAGAGAAACTGCTTGTCTTTCTGATTTGTGTAATGGCAAAGACTTTGCATAGAAATTCAGTAAAGCACACTGCTTGGTGTTCCTGAGGTTCCTGATTAAAGTCACAGAGAAAGCTTTTACCAGCACTTGAAACTTAATCCAAGATTCCTTTCTGCAGATTTTGTATCTTGCAGATTTTAGGTATGTTGCATACCCAAAGTGGGATAAATCCATTCCTTCTTACATTTTGATTACAAAAGCTGGATGTAATCCTGATCAAAAGTGTCTTCACAGACCTGCTGTTTTGAAGTGCCATAGCTTGGAAGGTGGCTCTGACAAAACTCAGGTCCTGCCGAGGTTGCTGTGTGCCACCGTAACGCAAATACCTGAAAGCAATTATCCTGTCATTTCATAAAATCCACATCATCAATGTAGTGATAAAATTAAAATAAGAAAAGGGAAAGGGAGAGTGCAAACCCACCACAGATTTACTCAAGAAATTACACCTTGTGAGCAATGCCTTAGCAGAAATACAGCTTCTAGCTGTCGAAATACTGTTGCTTCTCCTAGGATCTGATGCAAATGCTGCTGAGCTTCTACTAAGTAAATAGCCTGGTTTATTGTTTGGTTTTAACATTTACATTTTTCCTCATTTTTTGTTCATGATTTTGCTTCTTTTAAAATTTTTAAGAATTGTGATGATTTTTTTATGTAAAAGAGATTGGTTTGTACCAATGCTGGGGAAACAGTCTGACGGTGAACACTGTGTTTTGGTGCGTGTGACTGGCCAGGCTGCTGGCTCTGGGGGCGAGGGGGTCACTTGGAAAAAGACATAGACAGTTTAGAGCAAATTAATTTTTCAGTGTGTAAACTCCTCCTTTTGTTTCCACTTCATCCTTCCAGTTCTCATTGTAAAAGATCTTTGAAATAAAAAGTGCAAACTCAGGATTTCTTTTCCACGGAGGAATGTTTTTTTTTCCTTTTCTGCTGTCGTCCTTTTTATTTGCTGCCCTTGTGGGCTGAAATGGTTTGGCAACAATAATCTGAACTTCAAAGTTGCATGGGTCTAATGTTGGAAAGAACTTATTTTCACCATATTTGACATTTTAATATGCAAGAAAAGGACAATGCACCAAACTAGTGCAAGAATCATAGAATCACAGAATGGTTTGGATTGGAAGGGACCTTAAGGATCACCCAGTTCCAACCCCCCTGCCAGCAGCAGGGACACCTTCCACTAGACCAGGTTGCTCAAAGCCTCATCCAACCTGGCCTTCAACACTTCCAGGGAGGAGCAGCCACAGCTTCCTTGGGCAACCTGTTCCAGTGTCTGACCACCCTCACAGTGAAGAACTTCTTCCTAATATCTCATCTAAACCTCCCCTCTTTCAGTTTAAACCCATTTCCCCTTGTTTTGTCATTAACTGCCCTTATGAAAAGTCCTTCCCCAGCTTTCTTGTAGGCCCAGAAGTGCCTAGAAGAGCACTAGAAATATACCCCAAGTATTATAATTCCAAATAAACTGTTATTAGGCAATAGCTATGGTTGAATATGGGAAACGGAAAGGCTGTGAGCACCACAGCTGACTTTGAATTCACTGTTGGGTGAGATAGATGTGACTGTAGCACCTCTTACTGCTTAGTGCATGGAAAGACATGGCTTGCTTACCTGGCAATTATGAAATAATAATAATAATAATTTAAAAAAGCAGTATTGCAGTATTTGTGGAGATTGTGTGCTTTTGCATGTAACAATCTTAAAATGTTGGTAAGATCAGATGTCTTAAAAAGAAAGGGAGGAAAAACCCAGTGAAGGGAAAAAAAAGTCATGAATTTTAACTGTACCTCACTGGTAAGTGCTGAGAAGTAAATCCTTGAAAAAGGAAAAAGTTTAAAATTCCCATAAGGTATCACAGTGTGTGGGAGTAGTGAGAAGCTATGGGTTTGAAGTACAGAAAATCATAATGAGATTTTAAGTAGCATTTTAAGACAATCAGTCTTTGTAAATGTCGTGGTTTTCACTCTAAATTGTTTCTATTTTTTAAATTTCAAAGCAATAGTGGTGCCATATAATGGCTGGAGAAACGGTTTTAATGACATAAAATGAGATTTTAAGTGGCATTTTAAGACAATCAGTATTTGTAAATGTGGATTTCTCTCCGAATTGCTTATACTGCTTAAATTTTAAAGCAACAGTGGTGCCACATAAAGGCTGGAAAACCAGTTTTAATGCTGAGAAACAAGACTAGAGTTTAGGAGATGTTTCTATCAATGGCAAAATACTTTTTTCTACCTACTGGAGCGAGTTTACTCTTGACTTCTTCTTTTAAAGAAGAGCTGTGACTTCTCTCTGCCCGTAGCTGTGCAGGGGCTGGGTACAGCCTGTGGGTTCCCGTGTCCCTGAGCGTGTCCCTTCCCCAGGGAGGAGCTGGACACCGTGAGGAGGATGGAGGG